TCTCAAAGTTATCAACTTGAAATCTAAAAGTGCGTAAACAACCAAAGTGGGTCGTGCCACCTAACGTCTATGTTCCAAATGAATCTATAGGATCATTCTTAAGTCACATTTTGAACAATATAGCAAAGATGTACTTAACAACATCAAAACCTGCAATGATTCATTAGAAATTATAAAACCTGAATGTACTTAACAACATTAAAAGCATGCCATGATTCATTCAAAATCATAATGCATAAATTTACTTAACAACATTATCGCCAATAACCAAAATCACAAGTCATAATTAAACATTGGTTGTCAACTTGGAATTTAATGCGAAAACAAATAGTGGAAGACTTGGACATCACGTCTCAGACTAAACCAAGAACAAAATGGTTATTCCGGGCATTAACCCGCTGGGAAAACCACCCTAGTGCGTACTATCTCAATAGAGAGAACTCATACCTCCCGCACTAGAGCCAAACTCTAGCCATATCATAGTAACAATGTCCCAAGTGACTCCAAAATAAATAAGTTCACAACTTATATACGAAATATATATAAAGCACGAAACCATATCCCATGCACAAATAGTTTGTAACCACACAACTCATGCTTTAAATCCACAACTACTATAGGATGACAAATGTCGAATTTTCAGAGCGCGATTCGTTACGCGCTATAACAACATCACATGTCGAATCTTCAATGTGCGATTCGTTACACCCTATAACAATATAATTCAATATTGAAACATAACCTCATAGATCCATATCAAGTCTAAAATCATGTTTCAAACATAATACCAATGTTAAACACATGATTTAAATCAATAATGCCATAAAAACAAAAATTAATTAAGTAAAACAATTAATTTCTTTATGTTTCAAATCTCGATTAAATGATCCATATTTAACACATGTTATACAACATAGTATGGTTATCACATATACCACATGAAAAGCTTAATTACGTCATTAAAACAATAAGGTAGAATTTAATTAAAACATGATAATTAAATCTCTAACCTCTAAAACAACTCTAAATGGTTCCAATTTAATACATGCTAGTATACAAGTCCTAGTCATCACAAATGTCAAGTTAAAAACTTAAGTAAGCATGGAACCATAAAATAGATTTTAATTAATCATTTTAATTAAAATCTCTAAATTTTCATATTTATCCAAATGCTCTCAATTTAAAGTATGTTAAAGAACATGCCAAGACTTAATTTAAAAGTATATCACAAGTTAATTTCATGCAAGGCACGACCATGTGAATTAAACTTTCACCAAAGAAAACATTAAATAAAAAGTGCAATCAATAATCCAAATTTAATATATGTTAGCGAACATATCAAAGCTTAATTTATTAGCATGCTACAATTTAATTCTAAGTTATACATCATCATAAGAATCAAATCTTAACCATAGAAAATAATTAAATTAAATTCTAGATTATAAACAAAAGCATACATACAAGTTGTATTATCATGGGAAACATTCAATACAACACATATATGATCCTAAAACATCCCCCAAAACGAAATGGCTCCGAATCCGATGATACTTCGGGATTTTGTCAAGGACAACGCCATGAACAATAAACTCCAAAGAAGCCCCATCAAAAACACAACTTGACTTCAAACCCGAACTCACAAAATGGTCAAAACGAGATTTCAATCGGTGGAATCAAAGGTCTCGCCAAGGCGAACATAAAACACTAAGGTACTACGGCATTTCACTAAGAGGAAGAAGCTCAAAAGAGGAGAGAGAAAGTGGCAGCCCTTGGTTGCCATGGAATCCGGCCAAGAGAGGGGAGAGAGAGAGTGAAATCTGATTTTTCACTTAAAGGTCCCCTATATATAGAAAATCTCAAAAAGTGCCCTGAAAAGGGCCCGTCGTGTCTGGAAAAGTGAAATTTATGCAGACGCGCTCAAATGGCAAAACTCTATGAATGAAAAAGAACTAAGATGAGAAAAGATGGACAATGGAAGAAACGGTGTCGAAAATTGAGTCTCGTGCAAGAAGATATGCTCCAAACAAGTTTGGCGTTAACCGGGGTCAGAAATCCTGAAACTGGGGGAAAACGACCAGAACACAATTTTAAGAGTACACGACTCAACGAAAAGTGAAAATGAATCCCGTACGAGGATCCAGGCTCAAAATAAGGTATTTAGCAATAACTTTCATTAATTGCACGATGGCCCTTCCAAAAAGTGGAAACTACACAACTGGCCCAAAATGAAAATATCTTCCAAAAATATTTTTTTAAAAACCCCTGAAATAAAATTATTTGTCTTCTTCTGTTCAGGCTATTCAACTAAGAAAATTGTGAAAGATAGAGGGGGAAACCGGATCAATTTCTGAGCAAACAAAATTGTGAAAAATATTTGTTAGCGGGGCGGGCACAGAGCACCATATTTTCGAACGGGGCGGGGAAGGATATGAAAATCCAACCCGTTGCGAGGCACGGGGTGGGTATAGACTTGCCAAAAATTAAACGAGGGCGGGATTTAGGGAAACCCGCTCCAAACCCACCCCGTAGCCATCCCTATGTTTAACACTATTTCAAAACTTGTTTGGTAACGTAAATTTGTTACAAGATTTTTGGAAACAAAAATGTGAAAGCATGTTTGGTAAAAAGTGTTGCAAGTTTGAAAAATTAAATGGCTAGTTAAAAATGTTAATTTGGATTTTTTTTTTTTTTTTAAACAGTGTTCTGCTATAGTGCGAAAACAAACAAAAGCATGTTTCATGATTTTGCTTTGCTACAGTACAGTAGCAAAAACAAAAAATACGAAACAAAAGTATTACCCAAACAGCCCCTGGTTTTTGGAAGACAAGGAATAGTTTTAATGGATATACTACAAAATGTTTTGGTAGATGATCATTCAAAAAAAAAAAAAAAAATCCCAAACGAAAAATATATGTTATTCCTTCTTTTCTATCAAATCGTAGCCTGGTGCTCCCATAATCACGCAAAAGAGAGAAAAGCTAGAATTTTTAGGGAAAAATCTTCATCTCAAAACTCAATTCTCAGTAGGGTAAGTGATGGCATTACCTCAATTCTCAAATTGGGCACTTTGAAGAACTCTATTGTTGCTTATCATGTCCTCAATGAGTGGAATATATCTATTTCTTGTTGCAGCCCTACACCGGATTAAAAGAGGAATGCCTAGTGCAATGTCAACCTAGGGTGAGCCCCGGACTTATGTATTATTAGGATCCAAAATTTTGTATTACTATAGGCCTCTTAAAATTTTAGACCTCGCATTTGACTAGAGCCTTGGAAAATATTAGGCCTTTTAGTGCCGCCCGTGTCAGCCATCAATGGCAAGATCACCGGAATTGCTTCATAAAGCCACCACTAACAACAACTATCCATTATTTTTTATTCTTTGTTTGGATTAGGTGTTGTATGAGTCATTCCTTGTTGGACTTGGCCTTGTACTGTGCTTTCAATTGCTTTGGGCTTTTTGCAAGCTTTGTAACCCAAACATGTTTGGGTTTGGACCAAAGGCCCTTTTCTGTAAATACTTCTTTATCAATATATCTACTTCTTTTTTCCCCTAATATATATATATATATATATATATATATATATATATATATATGAAACTATGAACCATGCGCTTTTTACATTCTTTAGAGCAAGGCTTGTTTAGAAACTTTGCTGCTACGTTTAAATGTTAAATTATTGCAATTTTATTCTTGGTGGAATGTCATCAATAAGCTTTGGCAAATGGAAGAAGACGTTAATAAGTTGCTTAGTCTTATTAATACATATATGTCCCTTTTGTTAGTTCGTATATTTCATTTTCTCTTTTGGTTCTACACAATGTCCCCTCCTCTAGTTGGATATTTGTGGGGAAAAAAAAAAAAAAAATTGATATTTGAATTTTAATACAAGAGAACGGTTAGATACACTCGCGCAAACTATTATACTTCTATTAAAAACTAGCCTGGTACTCCCATAATCAGGCAAAAGAGAAAAAAGCTAGAATTTAATTTTTAGGAGAAAGTCTTCATCTCAAAACTCGATTCTCAATAGGGTAAGTGATAATATTAAACTACATAATCGATCAAAGATTGGTTGGGTAAAAAGGCCAGGTAAATGGTTTGGCTCATAGTCTTACCTAGTGTGTTATGCAGAGAAGAGAAACGGTATGTTTTTATGATATTTTCCCAACTTTCATAGAAGAGAAAGTTTATATAAATTGTATTCATATTTAATTTCATCTAATGAAAGATTTTCTTGCCTTCCGGAAGGACAAAAAAAAAAAAAAAAAACACTCTATTGTTGCTTATCAAGTCCTCAATTAGTGGAATATATCGAGCCCGAGGCTTATGTATTATTAAAATTTGGTGTGCCCAATATACATCACAGTCGTCCGTATTGTACACACGTAGATGTGTATAAAACATCCCCATACACGAACGACTATGACTAACACTAGTATTTAGGAAAACCGACAACACAAACAAGAGGAAAAAATTGGTTGATTTTTTCCATATACGCACAATACATACGCCTACATTTTAAGTCCAGTCCACCCCAATAGTATTGAACAAAAAAATGAGGTGTTTAAAAGTCCAATCCACTCCAATAGTATTGAACAAAAAAAGTAGCCAAGTAGATGAATGCTGAATATATTAATTTAAAAATCTGTTTGATGTTCATTAGCTAGGAGATAAACTGTAATTACTTTCTGCAGGTACTCCAACACTTTTCAAAGCTTCACATACTTATACACCCATATTTTAGCCTTACTGCTTAGTATATATACTTATACACCTCATACATATCATACATATCTTATACACCTCATACATGTCTCATCTGCACAGCACAACACTTGTCACATGTATCATGTATAACTCACAAATAAGGCACATTCATGAGATAACCTTGCATTATATATAAACCCCATATATAATATATTACACACTCCAACAATCTCCCAACTATACAACAGTAAGTAAGAATATGACTCGCTGAAACCTGAAGAAAATCCATAACCCTAGTAAAGGAAGAAAAGCATTAATTTAGATAAGAATCCAAAATGGTGTAACTGATACTTCTTAATATCAAAGTCTTGGAGAAAGAAAACATAGGAATAAAGTGGACATTTATGACTAAAAATCAGTCTGCGTAAACAGAATCTTCATTCTTCACTAGCACGAACCTCTCCTGCACCGATTCCGAGCAAAACTCCAACATGCTTTCAATTTCTGTCACAAGAATCATCAGACAATTAAAAACAAGATTCAGTATAGTTGTTTGAGTTGCATCAACACATTAAGCAATAGATTCATTATGAGATTTATCAACACCACCCAACAACATCCTTGCAATGAACTTACATATTTTATTGAAGGCCACAATATCGCAGCTCTGGACAAACTCATCAATCGGCTCAACTGTGAGTCTTTCCTCGATGAGACTGTCAACGGACACCAAGTCATCCACAATGGTCATCATAATCTGCAATTTCTTTACACCATATCCAACAGGTACGAGATTGGCTGCAACAAACAGATGTTTACAAGTTAATTTGAGAAACATATGACTTGATTGCTTCAGTTCCAAAAAATACATTAGTATCCATTTGATCCTAGAAGAAATACAACAAGTCAACAGGAAGAGAAACATACATGCTCCCCAAGTCAATCCTTCCATCTCAATACTTCTAACAGCTTCCTCGAGCCTTTCCATGTCAGTCTCATCATCCCATGGCTTCACATCCAACAGAATTGACGACTTTCCAGCTGAAGAATAAAAACACAAGAAGATTGAACTTATAAGAACAGAGGGAATTTTTTTCCATGCAAAAAAAAAATGTGCAAGGTCCAAAAGCAGCAAAAGTAAACATGTAAAACTCATCCTGTTGGAGGAACCGGTAAAATAGTTCATGATAAGCATTTCGGCAATTGAACCATATCCATCAGGGTTTTCTATGTAGAGTTTCCCGGCAAAGAAGTTCAAGGGACCAAAATAGGGTGGTATACTTTTCAAAAAAAAATAGGGTGGTATGGATTATATAGATGTATGTATGTTACTAATCTTGAAGCCATCTATCTACTTATTGATTTCCTCTGTTACAACATATAATCTTGATTTGAGTGTGAGACTATATGTCCGACATCTCTTGGTAGACATTCCTCTAGCAAGCATATTTTATAATTCATGTTAACTATATAATTTAGTTTTACATAGAACAGTAATATTACAGTACCCATATCAAAACATATTTACTACCTAAACATGTAGGTTAGGAAATTAAATAAAAATTGCAATAATGAGGATATTTAGTTGTGACTCGGTGCTGTTGGAATTGAGTATTTGATAAATCTGATTCAGCAATTGACAAAGACACATACCCATAATTGTCGAACTTCTTGAGGCCAGACTCCGAGCTAAGATTGTACCTGAAAGCAAAATAGAAGGTTGATTTTAAGTTTATGCCAGAACTGCATACAGAGATTAATGTTCAATGATCCAACTGAATTAACCAGATAACCACTAATTTACATTGTTTCACATTCAAGAAATTGAAAAGATTTTAAATTGTTTGAATTCTGACAAAACAATGAAGAAAACATAGATTAGAAAAAGTTCCATATAACAGTGATAATAGTTACAAGGAAACATGTCTACTATTGTCAGTATATATTGTACCATAAACTTCCAAACAATAATTGATAGACTACCAATTAATGAAACAAAAATCTACTCATACAAATCTGTGTTGGACAGAAACTATATATATATTTTATATATATATATATATATATATATATATATATATATATATATAACACTCAATCTCAGAAACACCCATCATTCAAAACACATCAATAACAATATCATGTAATAGAACTTTCACTAACCACATCAATACAACATCCCTAAATGAACAAAAAAAAATTAGGGCTTTAAACCGAACAAGCATGCGCATACAAATGAACACTTGGACCCACAAATTCGCAGTAAAATTTTACGCAGACTGTGAGAGAGACTAACCTGCTTCAAGCTTTAGGGCGAGAAAATTCTTCTAAGCTGTTAGGGGGCTTTTATAATGGGAAGGTGTAACACAGGATTTGGAACAGGAACCTGAATTGGAATAGGAATTGGAATTAAAATAAAATTTTATTTATATATTTGAAACAAATTAGATTTAAAATGGGATTTGGAATAAAAATAATAGGGTAATTTACATACTCTTCTTTTAAAATGGGATCTTTTGTCGTAATTTACATCTCTCTATACAGGTAAGGACATTTCAAATAATTAGCCAAGTCTCCATCGTAAGGAAAGTCATGTTTTTAAAATTAGAAAAGGTCCTAGTAATTATATATATATATATATATATATATATATATATATATATATATTGTCTACCGACGAAGGGATCGATACAGAAAAAGTTTGGTGGTGGCCATGGCGGTGTGAATCAGACCATTAATTTCATAGCCTTTGTTCTTTGAATTGTCCGAGATCAAGAACAAATCAGATATAGTCTTTGTTCCAAGCGGCATTGCACCATACATATATATAGAGAGAATATATTTATATACACAGGCGGAGGGACCATTATATATTCTGACTCATAGACTATATATATATACACACACAGACACATAGAGAGAGAGAGGGATTAGAGGGGTTCAGGGATTTTAAGAAATTAGGTTACTGGGTGTTTGGGAGTGTCTCAAATTCTAAGTTTTTTTTTTTTTTTTAAAGGTAATTCTCAATTATGAGTTGATTGGGTGTTTGGATCCAAAGGTCGCAAATTCTCTCTCTACCTTTCTCTCTCTAAAACCAGACCCATCAAAGAAACAGAGCAAGTTTTTTTTTTTTTTTTTTTTTTTTTTTTTTTTTTTGAGTTGCTGCAATTTCAGATCGGTGCTCTCTCTCTCTCTCCTCTGATTGATCCTTTCACAAGTACAAAATCAGCAATCCAATGGAGAAACTCCCTGAAACGCCTTTTGGGACTCCAATTCAGTAAGAAACGGTTGAATTTTGAAGGAAGCTTTTAGATTCAGTCATGGTTCGTGACTTAGCCCATAACTAAATTAATTAATTTGGTCATTTGCCCGATGGTGATGATGTGAAGCAGAGGAAGATGAAATTGATTCTTTATATTGTTGGGTCGGTAAAGTGGCGTTGATGTTTGAATTATGCTTTGGAACTTTTAAAAGTAGTGGTGTTTGTAGCAAATAAGAGAAACCAGTAGTCGTCAATTTCAATTCTGAAATTATATAGAATTTAAACCGAAAAAGCATACAAATGAACACTTGGTGGACGAAGCAAAATCATATAATCACAGTATCAATAATCCCAGAATCAATATGCATTCGCGTCCAATTAAATCATGGAAAAAAAGTGTTCCTCATAATAAAAATCCATTGTTTCTCTACGTGTATGTTTGATTTATATCATCGATTTAAACATCCATTTGTGACAGAAACAATATATTTAACTCAATTTCAGGAACACCCGACATTCAAAACACATAAGATCATGTAATAAAACTTGCAACCACATAACATATGAACCAGAAGAAATAAAAGAAGAAAAAAAAATTATATTTAGAATGGTAGTAGAAAGAGCAAACCGGAACTAACTAGAGACGGTGAGAGAGACTAACCTGCTTCAAGCTTTAGGGCGAGAAAATTCTGACTCTGTATCTCTCTTCTAAGCTGTTAGGGGGCTTTTATAATGGGAAGGTGTTAAAGCAGGATTTGGAAAAGGAATCTGATTTGGAATAGGAATAGGAATTGGAATTCAAATAAAATTCTATTTATAGGCTCGGAACAAATTAGATTTAAAATAGGATTTGAAATAAAAATAATATAATATTATTTTTGTTCTTATTTAAATAATAAATAAAATATTTATTTTATTATAAAATTTGCTCCACAGTTACCTACAACGTGAAGGCTTAGAGAAGTGCGAAAATCTGTCTTTGATGCGTCGGAATGGATCTGGCCAATTCGGTTAGGGGAGGACCCCACACCAAAACAATACGGCTTGCTTGATCTCGTGATGAGACACAGAAAAGGAACTTTATCTTAGGGGGTCTTGGTTGGCCCCCTATTTTCAACCTGCTGGCGTTGAGAAATATATTCCGAAGTTTACATCAAGAAGATAAAAAACGAAAAGGATTAAATGATAGGAACTCTTAAACGTGAAATTTATTCAAAAATTCTTTCAGTTCATTTTAAGAAATTAGAGTATACCAAGCAAAAAAAATGGTGTGAATTAAGTAGTATCGGAGCATGACTTTTAGTTATAAAATTACAATTGTGTATTGTAGAATTTTTCAAGTAGGTTTAAGATATTGGAGTATATCAAACCAAAAAAATTGGTGTAAATTATGGAAGATTGGAGTATGACTTTTGGTTATAAAATTTGTATTATAGATTCTTCAAATACAAGAATACAAAAGTGGTGAATCAATCTGTTAAATGCAATTTAAATATATTGGAGTATAGCAATAAACAATGTTTCAATTAGAAATTCGTTTACTGACTTTACCAACTTTGAAACAATTAGAAACAATTGAAATAATTAGAGATTCATAGTTTACTCACATGACAAACTTGTGTAAGCTCAAGACTTACAGTTGCTCCATTGGTGCTGCTTATGGCGATTTTGGGCCAAAAATTGGAGACCGGATGCTCCATTGGCCTATTGGTTTTGTGGGCCACAAATTTTGGGTCTCCAAACAGGTCGCCAAAAAGGGCGACCCTAAAGGTGATTGAGGCTCAATTCTGTTGGCCCATTTCTATTTTCTTTTATTTTTTTAATTCAGGCCAGAACATTGTACCAGCCCAGAATACTGTTCCTAAGGGCATGTTTGGCTAAAATAAAAGCTAAAAATCATATTTTTGGCTTATTTTGGTTTCTTTTTTTTTTTTTTTTTTTTTTTTCCTCAAAATAATTGAACCAAATAGCCGTTAAGGCACTATTTGTCTGCCTTAAGCAAAAAAAAGTTTTAAAAAATTGAAAAAAAGTGATTTTATTTCCTTTTCAAAATTTTCAATGTTCCTATTGACTTTATAGCCGTTTTAGGTACTGTTTGGCTGGCCCAAACAGTGCTTTAACGGCTATATTGGCTGACCAAACAATTTTTTTAATTTGTTTTCCTTAACAAATTGAAATTTATTTTAAAATATGATTTTTTTATTAAAAAAAAAAAAATGAGTCTTTGTTTTCACTATAAATTAATAAATCATATGATATTAGATACTGTATTGTTTACAAGATTTCTTACATATTGGCTAAATAATTTAATGAACAAATAATTTAATTATTTATTTCAAAATAAAACATTACACAATAAATATTTCATTACATAAACTTCATAACAATTTAAAAATAAAATAATGCAACATAAATTAAGCACTTCTTCACCAAAGCGGTTCCACAAATTTTTAATTAAATCTTTCCTCAACCGCAGATTTGTTTCTTTGTTGCGAATTTGAACTTGGCGATAGCAGATGTGTGTCGCTAAGACTGATGGATTTTGAATTAAAGTGGGAATTGAGATTGTCCCCTGCGGTGGTGGAGTCCGTCTTCCAACATTGGTATGGCGCTCATCTTCAATGATCATGTTGTGAAGGATGATGCACATTTTCATTATAAGGCACAAGTCCCTTTTATCCCAAAAATGCATTGGTTGTTACGTTATTGCCCACTTGTTCTGCAAGACCCCAAAAGCTCGTTCCACATCTTTCCTACAGGCCTCTTGTCTCTGAGCAAAAAGTTTTTCTTTTGTTGTAGTTGAGTGTGGGATGGTCTGTATTAAAGTTGCTCACTTAGGGTATATAGCATCATATAGGTAATACCATATGATAATGCCATTCACAACGAAATTAACTGGAGGAATTTGGCCAATAACGATACTATTGAATACTAGAGAATAATCCAGCACATTAATATCATTGTGTGAACTCGGTATTCCAAAGATTGCATGCCAGATCCACAAATCTTTTGAGGCAACCTCCTCCAATATGAGCGTAGGCGTATGAGAGCATCCATTGTGTGTGTCATGCCATGCCATCGGACAATTCTTCTACTCTTAGTGCATACATTTGATAAAACCAAGTATACCCGGGAATCCTCTTTCCTCCCCTTCTTGAAGTAGTCGTGCTATGTCGGCTTCGTTGGGTGGCATATGTACTCTTCCCCATACATACCAATAACAGCCTTACAAAAATTCATCAGGGTTTCAATGGCAGTACTTTCGCTGATTTTAATATACTCGTTACAATGATCGGCTGCACAACCATATGCGAGTATACGTATTGCAGTTGTCATGTTTTGTATAGAAGACAACCCCAAACAAGCTGTTGCATCCCTTTTTTTGGATAAAGTAGTTGTCATAAGCTTTGACATCATTCAGGATACGAAGAAATAGTTCTCGTCTGCCAAGGACGGCTTAGGCCGGATCAAGCCTACATAACGAAGTCTGGCCTGGTAATTGACTTGGGCCCAAACTTGGCATCCATATAGCAGACCTGGCGCAAGGGGTTATTGGTAAAGGCCCCCAAAGAGGAGTTAGGCCCATAACGGCATAACCACTAGAATAGGCCCAGCGGCTGAAGTTAGTTAGGAATTCTCTAGAATAGTGCAAATTGTCTATAAATAGAAGGAAAAGAGAAGAAAGAGGGGATGGAAAAAAATTTGAAGTGTAATAGAACTCTGTACATTTAGTGAGAGAAAATTATTGCATCTTCATATATATATATATATATATAGAGAGAGAGAGAGAGAGAGAGAGAGAAAAAAAAGATTTTTTTTTTTGGATTAATAGTATATATACCTCCTTGAACATTTTTGGAAGAGTTAAAGGACAAAATAGGTATTATAATACTAATTTATGTTAGAGGGGTGTTTTTGCACAATGTGAAAAAATTAGAGGTATTTTTTATATATTTTTTCAATAGGAAGTAAAAGTGTTATGCGAAGTAAACTTTAGGGTGTGCTCTCCTGAATCGTCTGTGAAAGTAATCCGGTGGATATATGTAATTCTCATCAAAGTAGTCTTTCATTAGTTGACGGTGGCTTCCCTCTTAATCACAATGACTATATCGCCTCTTACGCGGTTTAAAAACTTGTTCTACTATCTCTGGGTTCACTGAATTCAAAATCGAACGAAAGGCATCATGATTATGTTGAATCATCACGTCAATAGGGTTATCTAATGAAGAAGATGATGAAGAAGATGAAGAATTAGAGCCTGACAAAAGAAAAAATCGTGATGAGAAAGCCATTAGAATTTTGAGATTGAAAGAGATGTGAATTGATATTTTGCTAGAATAAGTTGAAATGAATGTAGTGATGATGAGATGAACAAATGGTTGTTTATATAAGATGAAAAATATAACCATTATAAATATAGCCGTTAGAAATATAGCTGTTAAAAAAAAAGTTAAAAAATAAATTTTATTAAAAATTTTAAAAATATTAAAATATTAATATTTTTGAAGAGCGAAAATACACCATTGGAGTATATGTGATAGCTAAAATTTGGAAACTCTAAAACGCTGACATAGCTATGAGAAATGCTGACGTGGTTATTAAAAAATGCTAATGTGGCAAATTCGGAGAGCCTAAATTCGGAGTTCTCATTAGAGATGCTCTTAAATGGTTAAAAGCTAATAGGATACGTACCTAAGTAAATTCCAGATGAAGACACAAAAATATAAAAAGATTTAAAAGTGAAGTACACAAAAGACTTAAATATTCAGTTTACTACTAACCTGGATATGCTTAACACTCAGTGGATAATATATATATATATATATATATATATATATATATATATATATATATAGAGAGAGAGAGAGAGAGAGAGAGATTAAAACAATGGTATTATTATATAGAGAACGACGAACAAGTAGCATGGATTTAGTTAAATAAGAGAAGAGGAAGAAAAACGTTAGAGATTGAGATATGGTAGTAGATATTTAATAGGATAGGGTTTAATAAGAAGAAGACGTTGGAGGGTTAATTTAGAAATATATAATTAATGAATATTTATCTCTCAAATCCCGTCAAATCCTAGCTTTTTAGACTGGATTTGAAAAAGCTAGGATTTGAAATGCAATAAAAAATGTATTTGAAATCCTATAATTGTCAAATCCCATTTATAATTATGTAGTTCCAAACAAGGCAAACCTTGCTTCCAAATCCAAATCCTATCAAATCCTGCATTCCAAACAAAGTGAAGGGATCTTTGGAATAAGGAGTGCATTGGATGAAGGGTCTATTTGGTATATAAAGTGGGTTGGGTTGTTTTGTTTTAGGCCCGCTACAGTTGGTACAAACTGCCAACGATTTTGGCGGATTGCATTTTTGATGAATTGGGAGAAGCTACGAAAGATTTGGTGGATTGGGTTTTCAAAATCTTAGAAGCTTTTAAATCGTTTTGTTATGTTAGCCAAATATGACTGAAAAATGCAAATAGAGAAGCAAGGATTGTGTTATTTAAGCTTTTTAAAAATAAAAGAAAAAAATTTTCGAATATTTTTCCGATTTGGCAATCACAGTTACTTTGTGTTTTTGCTTTGACCTGAAGCAGAAGTAATGTTTCTGCTTTAGAGTGTGTTCAACACTATTTCGAAGTTTGTTTGGTAACGTAAATTTGTTACAAGATTTTTGGAAGCAAAAACATGATAGCATGTTTGGTAAAAAGTGTTGCAAGTTTGAAAAATTGAATAACTAGTTAAAAATGTTAATTTTGAAAGATTTTTTAATT